TTTTTTTTTATTGACCAAATTGAGTTAATCTCAGAACTAATATCTCTATTATTATATTAACTATTTTAATTATACTTAGATGTTTTTTCACTTCTAATTTTTTTTTTTACTTATATATGTTCAAGATCATATGATATATATCTTGTAATAAAAAAGACTTAACATATATTATCTTTAAACGTTTCAAATAATATAACATATTTTTTAATATGTATAAAATGACACTTTTACGTTAAAAATAATATTAAATAAATGTAAAAAATTTATGTATATAAAAAGTATAATTTTTCTATACTTTTACTTAATATAGAAACATGAGTTTAAATCGATTTCAAATAACTCAATATACTTAAACTAAAATGTTTAATTTATTAATTCTTCAATTTACAAAATAAAATTAATGATCAATACTGAAAAATAATCACAGCCATATTAAAGTTGGTAACATGACACATATTAAGAAAGCCTGATTAACAATATGATGATGGAAGATCCACTTCTTCCCACTTAGAACACCCTTATATAAGTGAGCAAAAATGCTTGCAACATATATGAAGAAGGGAAAGTGAATAATCAAATACCAAATTGTTTGAAAGTTAGCACCAAATGGGAGACTTATGGTTGGGTTCATTGACCATTTTTTTGACCATTATGGGTTCACAGGGCCAGCTCAAAACCGGGTTTTACTCCTCTTCCTGCCCAAACGCAGAGGCCACGGTTCGGTCCACTGTTCAATCCTACTTCAGTAAAGATCCTACCATTGCTCCTGCCCTTCTCAGGCTTCACTTTCATGATTGCTTTGTTCAGGTTTCCTACTTTCATCTTCATCTTCAACCCACAATAACAAATAATATTCATCTTCATGATTCTTTTACATAACTTTTTTATGTTATTGTATGACAGAAATGTTACATGTTTGTTTATTTAGTTATGTTACATGTTTTCCCCAGGGCTGCGATGGTTCAGTTTTGATTGCAGGCTCTTCTGCAGAGAGGAATGCGTTACCTAACGCTGGTCTAAGAGGTTTTGAAGTGATTGAGGATGCAAAATCACAACTTGAGGCCAAGTGTCCTGGTGTTGTCTCATGTGCTGACATACTAGCATTGGCAGCACGTGATGCTGTAGACTTGGTACTAAATAAATACAATCTCTAACTCCACACATTCAATTCATAGAAACATCACTCTATCAAATGATTCATCATATACTGAACTCTCACTTAAAATGGCAGAGTGATGGTCCAAGTTGGTCAGTAGCTACAGGAAGAAGAGATGGGAGGGTTTCTTTATCATCTCAAGCTTCAAACTTGCCATCTCCACTTGACCCTATTTCTGTGCAAAGGAAAAAGTTTTCTGACAAAGGCCTAGATGATCATGACCTTGTAACCCTTGTTGGTGAGCTTTCTAACATTGTTATTGCATGTGTTATACTTGTCATTCATTATTATGCTTATTTTAAATGATAGAAAAGATTCAGTAGAGAATCTTGACTCAATACTAAATGGTGTAGAAAGAATATGATCGTGACACTTGAAGTTGTCTCTCTACAGGGGCACATACCATAGGTCAAACTGAATGCAGATTCTTCAGCTACCGTTTGTATAATTTCACCACCACTGGGAATTCAGATCCAACTATAGACCAAGATTTCTTAGGCCAACTTAAAGCACTGTGTCCAAATAAAGGAGATGGCTTGAAAAGGGTGTCGTTGGACATAGATAGTCCGACCAAATTTGATGTTAGTTTCTTCAAAAATGTGCGCGATGGTAATGCAATTCTAGAGTCAGATCAGAGGCTGTGGGGAGACCCTGCTACACAAAGTATAGTGCAGAATTATGCAGGGAATATAAGAGGGTTATTGGGGTTACGATTTAATTACGAATTTCCAAAGGCTATGGTTAAACTGAGTAGTGTAGAGGTGAAGACTGGTACTCAAGGAGAGATTAGAAAGGTCTGCTCAAAAGTTAATTTATATTAAACAATTATCTGTGAGTATTCAGTAACTTATGCTTTGCTTGGGTTGAATAATTTGTAATGTTCTAATAGTGGAAATCTAATAATATTTCCCTTATTTCATAAAAATGTTGAAAAAATTAGATTTTAAATCTAACTCAATCAATTTATAAAATAAAATTTATATTCATTCATATACTATAAATTAATTTTATTTAATAAATGTCAATATAAATTACGTATTAAAGTATATAATATTAATAAATGATACGGTAATGATATCAAGATATCTAATTTATATATGATATTTTTATTAAGGAGAAAACTTTAAGTCGTTGAGTTAAACTTAAAACTTAACAAAAATAATAACAAATAATAAAAAATAAAATGAATTAAATTAAAATAAAAAAATACACAAAATTAGGACATATTTTGTTAAAGAACATAATGAAACTTTTAAAAAAATGTAGAAAAGCCGAAAATGAAAAGAAAAGGTCAAAGGATACAGATGTCGGTTCATGAGGCTTTGTCAGCAGCAACCGTGCTGGTTTCCTTTGTCTCCTTCTTACATCACCGTTGATGGAACAATCATGCTTAAGCTCCTCAATCTTCTTCCATCCTCATCTTCTAAACTCTTCTCACGATACATTCTCTCACTCTCCACCAAACTCCCACCACCGCTCACACGACCATTCTCTCACCACCCCGCCACCACCACCATGTCCATAAACCTACGCACACACGCCTTCGCCGGCAACCCGCTCCGGTCCCGGACTCCTAACCGGGTCGAACCGCTTTCCCCTGCCGCGGCGCACGAGACCTTGAAAACGCGAATTGCGGAGACCGCGGGCGAGTCCGTGTCCGTGAATTTGAAGGTTTTACCTTTCAGAAACGGGAGGCCCCTGGCGTCTTCGGGCAGCAGTGACGCGTGGCGGCTGGCGTGGTTGGGGTTGGAGGAAGTGAAGAGGCTGCTGGGCGCGAACCTGAGCGCGGACTCGTTCGTGTATTTGGGGTACGACGCGGACGAGGATTCGGTGTATTGGGCGATCGACTTGTCAAGGGAGAGTATTTTGGTGGCTGAATTTGGTGCCATGAAGCTCTGCTTTGTCGAGCTGAGAACGCTCATGGTTGCTACCGACTGGGTCGATTTGAAGGCCATGGGGAGCTTGGCCATTGCCGGTCATGTAAGTTCCGTTTCTCTATTGTTTCTGACTTGGGTTTCCAATACAGAAGTACATCGTATTTACTGGCATGATCTCCGAATTTTCAATTTGGTCATTGAAATTGTGTTTAAATTTAGTCCTACAATTTAAGTAAGCTAAATAAACGCTGAAAAAATCTCTCATTTCTCAAGTCCATTCAGTGCTTTTATATTATTGTTAATGTTAAACTCTGACATAACATAGAGAAACATTGGGGTATATGTTATCACAAGTATTTTATTTGTAGAGAAAAGTAAATACCACCAGTATGTTGTCTATAGAGAACAATGAATCAATACGTTAGACTTTTCATTGGAGTTCACAAATATAAGTGTGATGTTTCCACATTCCGTTCTTTTACTTTTGAAATGACAATCTACCTCAATATCTTTGGAAAAGACAAGATTAGAAACAATGTGTCATGCATGCTTGGTTGTCACATACAAGGTGCATTTAAGAACTTTTATTCAAATTTAAGGCCTTTGAGGAGTTGTTTTAGCTTGATGAGCTCACAAGTGCCTAAAGTCATTGCCCCATGTTCTTCTTCTACACTTGGTTTTGCCACAACTTTTTGTTTTTTACTTTTCCATGATATTAAATTACTTCCATCAAGAGCACAATACCATGAAGCAGAGCATCTATTGCTTGCTGGCTTTGCCTAGTCAACATCATAATACCCAACAATTTGATTTTTTCTCTTATCTTCAAAAAATGAGTTCTTTTCTAGGGGCTTCTTAATATACTTGAGGATCTATATGACTGCATCAATGGTTTTGACAAGGAGAGTTTGAAAATTGAATTACTACACTCACTACAAAGGTGATGTCAGAAAGACTTATAGTGAGGTAATTTAGCTCACCAACTAAATTTAGCTTGCCTATATGGGAGATGGTGTTGGGGGAAACATTAGGAATGACCTCTACTAAATATCTGTAAAAAATTGATCCTGTATTTTAGACATTAATGGTTAAATATGCCTTACAAATAGTTATAGTGTTTAAGGATTTCTAGTGATAATTAACTTTGTTAACTCAATCTTACATAGAAAAGTGTCAGGGGGTGGGAAATTGATTTTGGTGTTTGGGTAAATAAACTTTGATTCCCTCAAAGATATAGAATGTTTTTGTTTTAGCCAAATTCCACTTTTTAATGCTCATCCAATGTCAATAATTCTCTCAATGAATTGACATTCGATGTGGGATACATTGTACTGTATTACTACTTACGAGCTTGGAATCAGTTATACATTGTACTGTATTGTTTTATGGATCAATCATATTCTTTGAAATAATTATGTAAGCTGCTTGCAGTTAGTTAATTTTCTTGGATTTTTGACCTTTTATCCTACTTCAGTTTGCAATACTGATAGGCAAAGGGAAATAGGCAATTCTACTTTTCTAATTACTGTGTTTGGCCAGGCCAGGGCACTTCTTGAATGGTATAATATATCACGATTTTGTGGACATTGTGGAGAGAAAACAGTGCCAATGGAAGCTGGGAGGCGGAAACAATGTTCAAATGAATCATGCAAAAAGAGGATATATCCACGAGTTGACCCGGTTTGACATCCTGTATTCTAATAGTTGAGTGATCAATGGTTGATCTAGTTTTTCTGAATTTCAGTGGTTATCTAAACTTATGCAGGTGGTCATTATGCTAGTAATTGATTCAGACAATGATCGTGCCCTTTTGAGCAAACAATCAAGATTTGTACCTAGAATGTGGAGCTGCTTGGCAGGTTTTATAGAGGTGCATGCTTGACCTAATCTAAGACCACTTAATATTTTTAGGAACTGAACTTGTGCTGTTATTACCTGAAACAGTGTGGCTTATTCCAGTAATTTGACTACATGTAGGGGGAACCTAATTTGAATTTGCGTATCCACTGCAATAGCCAATAGTTACCTTAATTCCAATACCATTTATTTTGCTAAAATGACAATATTTGGTCTTAGATCGTATAGGCTCTTGTTTATTTAGTCTGAACACCGGAACTCTTCCACTTCCTTTTACTGGGTACCCTTAGCACTAACATCCAGAACATGTATGAATAAGCTTCAAATTTTTTTCCTTATCAAATATTTTTTATTATAAGTTACTTTGAAAGCAAAATAAGCTAGCTTTAATGAACAGCTGCACTTAGGATATGTATGGGTAAACAGTTTAGTTAATTTCATGTTGAAGATCTTATCACATATTAGATCTTAAGTCAATAATTGCTAGTTGCAATTTAGAGGGTATTGAAATAAGCTTGTTTTGATAAGATTCATTATCATGCTTATCAAACCAAGCAAAAATAAACTTATCGGGACAAAGTGCTACTTGCATAAACTTAACCAAGTATGTGTATGATAAAATAATTCTAATTGGTGTCCATAGAAACCCTTGCAAATGCTTCCTTAGGTGGTTTAAACAGTCAAAAGTTTCAACCTTCTACTACCGATTAAAGGATTTCTTTAAAGTCAGGTTTCTTTGATTTGAGAATTCATGATACAATTGCTTTTTTTTTTTTTAATTTTATTCCTCCTCGATCAATACAGTAAAACTTTTCTCCTGTGTACTCTCATTGCCTATAGCCAGGAGAAAGCTTAGAAGAGGCTGTAAGAAGAGAAACATGGGAGGAAGTTGGTATTGAAGTGGGAGAAGTTGTATATCATAGTTCTCAACCATGGCCTGGTATAGTGTATTCTATATAACAATTTTCATTTTTCTAGGCTTTTGTACTTTTATCATTTCACCAGTGTTTATATGAGATAAAAATGTGAAGATTTGTCTGTATGAACATCTGATAGTAAACTTATAGGCTATTTGTGCCATTAAAATTTTGTTTGTGATGACTTGATGATTCTATCTATAGAGTATCATATCCAAAGAATTTAATTATCAGTATTCTTTTGGAGTCAGTTTGAATGAAGCTTTTAAGTGTATAAAAATAAAATATAATGAATCAAGAGGGTAAAAGAAACTTAGCTTCTTTCGTAAGTTTAAATCAACTTATACCTCAACTTTGTAAGATTGTATTTCATTTAATGTCTTGATAAATATTCATAAACCAAAGAAAACTTAGCTTTTGTGAGCTAGAAGTTAATTTAAAGTGAGACTTACTTCTTTTTGTTTATTTTGCTTAACTACACGAGGTTAAAAGAGGATGGTGTTCGGTCTTTAGGTTTTAAAAGAAAGGATAGAGAACTGAGTAGAAATAATCAATGACTTAATGTTTGCTTCCAACTGAAATACAGTTCAATTACAAAGAAAATATCCGCTCCTTCTGTTAGGAATCTCTTGAACTAAAATGAAAAAGATATACAAAGATACCTCAAGACATAAAAAGAACTGTGTAACTTCTGCATTGATTATCAACAAACCTCTTACAAGAACCAAGGTATACAAAGTATACCCCTAAAAGGAGTGCTCTCCTGAAGAGGAAGGAATCCTATATGTAAAAGACTTCCAACAGACTTAAAGGAAATAACTAACTACTTGACCTAGTCAACTGTACTCAACTTTTGTTTACAACCCTTTTTTCTCTTATTTTTCGTTCTATAATAAACCTGTAAAGGCTTTTTCTATTTTAGATGCTCCCTAAATTCATTCTTAACAATACTCCATCCCTTAGAAACAACCTTGTCCTCAATGTTGAAATCTGTAAACTGATTACAAAATAGGAAAGATCTTCCCTAGTAGACTCTTTGGGAAGCTTGTCCTGCCAATTCAGCAACACCACAGGAATTTCTGTTTCCAATTTATTCACTGTTCCAGTGCCTAAAATCAGTAAAGGTTGATAATTGTCCTTTGTTCACTGCTACGCTCCTGGAAAGTCAGGTTCAATTGGATGATCTCTTATAGCCTTAATCGGCCCAAACATAAAGCCCATTTCACATATCAACCCCTGCACACCCAAACCCTATGTTCACTGCCAATTTTCTTTTATACGTAACCCTAATCACTCGCTTGATTCATGCAACTAGACCCCACCGCCTCTACAATAGACTAAAACGTCACCAATGATCTAACAATTTTCCACTCGAACTCACTATCTGTACAAGGTGCGATCTTCTATGCAATTGAGCACGAAACTCACCCAAAACTCGTAGGATTGTATGAGTTCACGAGTTTACTTGTGATTTTGACAATACTAATTGTGATGCCTACTTCTTGATGAACTCTCTATTGGAGATTCTAAATTCTTGACTGTAGCCTTCATCACGGTGTAGAAAGAATCAATAAACTGTTGAATCAGAGACTAATTCTCTACCTAGTGAAATATTCCTTACAGCTGAAATACAATTCAATTACAAGAAAAAACCCTCATGTACCCCGGCTATTCACTCAATTTATACTGTTCCTCCCCTATTCATTCTCCGTAACATTGATTAATTTTTCTTTCTTCTGCAGTACATTTTTAATAATGGGCCTTCTATGTTAAGGCCTATGTTTGGACCCTAAGTTCTTAAAAAGATGAGAATATTTTCTTCCAGATTTCATGTTAGTTCAGGATCTGTTTGTTGCAGGTACCCTATTTCTTCCTTTACAATAATATAGCTAGTAAATCAATCACTTGCAGTCCAATGGTGGTTAGATCATGTTTAAAGTAACTTAAGTCAAAGTTAATGTCTAGAATATGTTTAACACCATAATTCTAAAATGTAAGTACTGTTGTGATTCTTTTAACATACAGAGAGCTTTGAAGAGTTATTAGCTTTTATTGTGTTCAAAGATTCTATCCAATGTAATTTAAATCGGAGTTAATGTAGATGTTTGTCAAAACTGTAATTTTTTTTTCTTTTGTACACAGGATTTTCAAATGCAAACAAGTAAAGTTTAAGATAATCTAGTGTACTCAATTAGCATATTTTTGTGTTTTCTTTCTCATCAAAATTACAAATTTTAACGTTTCCCTTCTTTTATATTTATTGACTGTTGCTTCTATTGACTTTGTTTCTAGTTGGACCAAATAGCATGCCATGTCAGCTGATGGTAGGGTTCTTTGCATATGCAAAATCCCTTGAAATAAATGTGGACAAAGAAGAGTTGGAAGGTATATCCAGCATTTACGTGCATTGACGTACTATTTATTTCTCACCTGACGCAACTTTCAATTCATTTAATTATAATGTGTGACTGTAAATTGTGTGTGGAGAATCTGTACTTGTGCCACACACTCGGTATAGTTGCATTGTCTGGCTGAAAATTGAGCCTTAGAGGATGCCAGTAGTTTTCTTTTCTCATGGTGGCGTGGTAAACCTGAACCTCTAGAAGTCTTGCTGGTTTGCAATCATTGTTGGCCTTTGTTTTTTTTCTTTCTTTTTCGAAGCAACAAGAAAAAGATTGGGGAGGATGGGAAATATTGGATATGCATGGAAACTGTTAAGCTTAAGTTTTGTTCTCCTTCACTTCAATTTGCATTCCTATCTTGGTGACAATGTAAATCATTCGCCTTCTCCTCACTTTGCACTTTCTACCTCCTCTGCTTTTGTTTTTGGAACTGTGACAAATGATATGTTTCAATTTTCTGACCTAGATGCTCAGTGGCATAGTAGAGAAGAAGTAAGAAGAGCTCTGACATTTACTGAATACAAGAAAGCCCAACAAACTGCAGCAGCAAAGGTAGAACAAATGTGTAAGGGAGTAGAAAAGACTCACAGCTTGTCTACAGAGTTCAATGTGGAAAGTGGTGAACTTGCTCCAATGTTTGTTCCTGGACCCTTTGCAATAGCACATCACCTTATATCCTCCTGGGCATTCCCAGATAAAGATGTAAATGGCATTGAATGTCGTTCAAAACAACCTAGTGGCTCTATGTCAAATTTGTAAGAGTGGCAAATTATTTTTCAAGGCATGTTTAGTTATAATGCTTTTCTTATTATTGTTGTGTATCTCACGAAGGTGAAGGGGTGTCCTCACCAGTGACGAGATTCTCATGAAAAATTGTGAATAATCCACACACCAAGAATTGGAGACACCTACCTTTCATTTTACATACCTTTGATTTTTTTACATTGTTTTTCATACTAAACACGTTCGATATTATGAATCATCATAAGACTGACTACATTATATTTCATTTTTCTTTGCTGAGCACAGACTATCTAGGGCAGAAGTTTGACATCAGGTACGAGTCTTTACTACCAATGAAAGCTTAATTTTTAGGCAAACTACACCCTTTCTTCATGCATTCCAAATGACTATTTTACTTTTAATAAAAAATTAAATTATTTCCAAATCTTGAAAGTATATTTTGGATTGTACAATCTTAAAATGTAAGAAAAGTTTAGACGAATGCATGCTTATTACAAGAGTGTCTAAGAAGTTTCATTTGTATTTAGTTTAAGTTGTATTAGCTCATGAATTTCAATGATTGAGAATTATAGAAGCTAAAGTTCAACTGTAAAAGCTACAATGTTATGTAAGCTTCGTTTGTATTTCATTTAACTTACATTAGTATTTGAGTTCATCTAGGATAGAGTACGTGAGAAGTTGTCCAAGAATATTGTTAAATATATTAGATTATTTGACATTTTAGATAGATATATTATTTTTGTCTTTTATTTACAACTACTTAGATTGTTAGGCCTTGGAGGGTTTATGAGAGGAAAAGGGTGAGGAATAATACCTAACTGTTATCTAACAGAATAACAGTTAAGAGGGCGGGAACAGGGTCTATATAAGGACCCTGTATTTGTTCCTGAAAGGGGAGTTAGTGACTTGTATGTAGTTGACCGGTCTTAGAACCTGGTGAAGGAGGTTAAGCTCCTGGGTACACTGTATTCTTGATTTGTTGGTGTGCATGCAATTCCATTCTTTCTCATTGTATTCTGTTCTGTGTTGGTGTAAGTGAGTGAGAGTTAGAGAGCTCGTTAGGGATTTCATCTTGAATACCTAACATAGATATTATTTTTTATTTAAATTTTGGACTTAGTTCATACTTTTTTTTATTATAAATACAGTATATCTTATATGTATTTTATATATAATCTCTATCCTTCTACATGCTTAATTAAGTTATTTATTCCAGTCTTTTGTGTCCAACTTATTTAAGTTATCCAATTTATTTGTTGAGTTTTGTCAACTAAAAATTGTAGTTTCTTTTTTCGTAGAATCTCTCAATGTATTTCATTTCTTTTTGTCTTTTAGTTCACTTTGACATACAGGGGTTTAGTCATATTAAGTTTAATTTAGGTTTTTAATATTCTTTTATTTGAATAAGTTATCCAATTTATTGTGTTGAGTTTTGTCAACTAAAAATTGTAGTTTCTTTCTTCGTAGAATCTCTCAATGTATTTCATTTCTTTTTGTCTTAGTTCACTTTGACATACGGGGTTTAGTCATATTAAGTTTAATTTAGGTTTTTAATATTCTTTTATTTCTATTGATGATTATTCTAGACGTATTGTTGTTAATGAAAAATCATTATGAATTATTTTATATATTATAATATCTTTTTAATAAAATTAAAATTTATTTTGGTGTTTTGTTTGAACTTTGTGAAATAGTAATGACTGAAAATATTTTTCTCCTTTTTTAAATAATTTTTGGCTTCTATCAAATTTCATATGTTTATACATCTCAACAAAATAGGAGCTTTTAAGAGAAAAAGTAAATATTTTATTAAAATAATTTATACTCTGGTTTCTCAATATTTTAAATATTTTATTAAAATAATTTATATTCTGGTTTCTCAATATTTTAAATATTTTACTAAAATAATTTATACTCTGGTTTCTCAATATTTTTATGATGTTATTCTTACTATATATTATTTTATATATTATCTTATTAATTGCATGTCTTTTTTAGTTTTAGATAAAATATTTCATTCTACTTTATTTTCTCATGAACATCTTCATCCCTAGTCTCTAAAAGTTTAGGTCTATAAGCTTTGTTCATAAATATTTTTTTTTATAATATAAAATATATAAAGAATAAGTGGTTAGTCATGCCATGGATTGACCGGTCTATTTTCTCACACAAGTTTTCTGTGTAATTGTACAACTAGACTGAACTGTTAATCAACAAAGATATAAAGAAATAAATTATTTTTCAAATATTTAGAAACTACTACGCAAGCATCAATGTTTAAATAAATCATCTTCATTTGAATCTTGTATAATCCTTTGATTTTATTATTATATTGAACACATGTTGATATATTAACGAAATTGTCTCAATTATTGAACATTTAATATATTCATATATTTTAATACAATATATGGATCTCCTTTAATGTTAACATGACATTTAATAAAATTACTCATTACATGCATTACTTGATTTACTATTGAAATAAAAATAAAGTAAAAAGAAGAATAACAGCAACATATATGTCTAATTTAGTGGTTGATCAATCCTTGAATAAGTTTTATTCTTCTACTTCTGAATTTCAAATTCTAACAAGTAGTATTGTTGTATGGTTGTCATTTTCGGTTGTTTTCTTTTTTCTAATTCCATTTTTTCTAAATTTAGTAGTCACGTCATTGTTTTCTAATGTACATTTTCTTAAGTGTTTTTATGTGCAAAATTTTCCTCTTTTTGTTGGCTATGAACCTATGCACGAAAAGGAAAGGAACCTTAAAAAGTTAAGCCTATAAGCTATTTCAAACTAGGGAGAATCAAATTAAAGAGGCCGTTGGTATTTCCCTATAAAATAAAATTGCACTTTTTAATTATGTGCATATTAATATTTTTAGGTATATAAAGTAGTTTTAGTATAAATTTTCAATTTTATTCCAGTGAAGATATATGATTTTTTATAATTTCATTTTCATTTTAACGGTACGCCTCATTTTTAAATTTTAAGTAATTTTTATGAGTTTTACAGTAGTTCTTTTCTCTAATATTATCTAAAGCAAGTGAGTTTATAATACCATTTTTTATGTCTTTGAAGAAAATTATATTCTCTATATTGAAAATCAAAACTCTTTTGACCAATATTAGATCTTCTAAACTATATATATATATATATATATATATATATATAATGTTTAAGATCTATAATAAAAAATATCACTAAAATTAATTTTGCTTTATGTATTAATTAATTAAAGTTATGGGAAGAATTTAATTTATTTTGTCTTTTATCTTTATCTCTTTAGTCAATAGTTTCAAACATTAAAAATAAGGGAAATAATAAATGAATTTTTACATTATTATTTTGACTTGTAAATTTTATATGAACATATAAAAGAATTCAAAAAGAAAAAAGAAACTTAAATGTTTGTACTTGGCAGAACTCCTAGACAAGCAAATTAAAATTGAAATATTGGCTGAGAAGCTAAAATTGCTAATTGAAAGTTGAAATGAATGAAATTTATCGGTAAAGCTAATTCTTGATAAGTTACATAATGAACACAAAATCACTTAATTAATTAAGATCTGAGTGATTCATTTATTTTATTTTAAAATGTTAAGACAATCAACCAACGTGTAAGTTTTTTTTTCTTATAGAATATTCAACTTTCATATTTATTAAAAACTGACATTTGATTCTCAAAATAAAATGACATAAAGACAAGAATAGATAAAATGATAAAGAAGAAAAAGACTACAATGAATATTTTAATACTGCAAGTAGGTTCTGATAAACTGGTAGTAAAATAATCAGAAATGGTTAAAAGCTATACGAAATGAGTATAATTTTAGCAAAACAAGTTAAACCATGAAACAATCTAAAAGGGTAGCTTGAAAGGCAAAGACACCGAGTTCATAGTGGAGTGACAGAAGAAAAGACTATGAGAGCTTTCAGAAGTTTAGCTACAGATTAATCAAAGTCATTGAAATGGAAAGGAAAATTAGAAAGACCCAAAAGTTTTTTGGAAATAAAATGCAGTTCCTATCATTTGGTCATAAAAGGAATCAAGGTAGGAATGCATCAGACCCATCTCAACTCCTTGATGGGACACAAAGCAAAACATTTACTTTCATCAAATTAAAGAGATTTTCAGAATCCTTGTTCAGACCAATATATATGTATATGTTTTTGTATGTGTGTGTGTGTGTATGCAGCAAAATTCTGAGGCAGAGACAGGACCACATAGTAAGAATGGTTGGAAAAGCACAACAACATCATAGGAATTCAGTGAGCTTAAGTGGAAAAGGAAAAGGGAAATGACACTAAAGAGTGGTGGGAGTTATATTCCTTTATAAGAATGTTGTTAATTCTTGTTAGGCACTCTCATAGGATGGTTGTTTTCACTGGAAATTATTTATCAGATTCATGGTACTACAGATATTATTCTTTTTAACTTAGATATTGTTAAATACTATAACTTTTACACTATATGTTTGAAAAAAAAAGTGTTGGCAGGAACCATTTATGTTGCACTTTTGTGATTAGGGGAATGATTTTCCAGCTATGCCTATGGTGGGTAGGTGCTACTTATAAGCAGCTAAAATCACTCCTTGAGGAACAATGAAAGCAAGAATTGTCAAAAAGGAGGCACTTTGTTTTTAGTGGTTTGAAAGTTGTAACGGTAACTTCAGTTATAAATTATTACACTTGTTCATTTTCTTTTACCTAATTTTATCTGGGGTACTGCTAGAAATTGGATGGAAATGATCAGAACTTTTAGACCATTACTTATTGAATCAAGTAAGGAAAAGGAGTTTGTATAAATGAAGCTGTTTACGTTCTTTTATTCATCACATGTGTTGGAGTTGTGAAAGCTGCAGAAATGGGAGTTCCTTGCAGCCCAAAGCTTCCATGCACAAGTTGCTGTAGTTTTGGACTGAAGGGAGCTCCTAATTCTTCACTTTTTCATATACTTTTTCTTTTCCTTTACCATATCAAAGCCTTCTCAAACTTCTTGTCATTAGATATTGGTGTTCCTTGAAAATTTGGCCAAGTAATGAAGGGAAAATCCAAGATAAAAGTACATTATCATTCTCCTTTCCTTTTTTCTCTTGTAACTTTTGCAATTTCTTTCTAAGGGGTCAAATTTATGGATTGATTAAGTTATTCACTTCATGTTCTTGTACCTTTATGCAGGTGGTGCCATGATTATGGTAAGGTCACCTTTATCATGTTGCTTTTGCTTTCAGTCTTCTTAGTTTTTCACTATACTTAAC